ATATTACACTGATTGCAAACCTATACGTGCAGCCGCTTATACCTAGTTCTAGAGAGGACAAATGAGATATTGATTAGTCATGTCTTGGTACACAGATAGATACAAACATATATTCACAAATATTAAATACAAATATAAATCTCTTAGGTCTCTCAGGTGCCATCATTCATGCCCTTGAGCCCTAGAGCATGAATGTCAAATCATTTAGAGTCACAAGGACAACTAAACTACCGTTTTGTTAAGGGATCAAAACTAGCACCCATATTATAACACCCCGCTCATCACCGCGCTAAATGTGTATCTGGAAACTCTTATTTATTCGGGCCTTAAAGCCACCTGAACTCATTTAAATTGATCTCGTAGTTTATATCGTATTTCATAATTTAAATTCATAATTTTAATTTATTCAGATTTTGTTATTTTATTTATTTTTATTATTATTATTTTATATTATTTTATTTTTATTGCATTTTTATTTAAAAGTAATTTTTAGGAGAAAAATGGAAAATGGGGTGAAATCTAGTGGGAAAACACTCGTGGGAGAGGCTCGCGTGTGCGGGCGTAGCACATTGTGCGCAGGCGTGCGTGCGCGATAAGCGTAGGACGTGCGCAATGTGCACACATCCTATCCTTGCAGGGTGTGGGTCTGTTTTGCACGTGCGTCCCATCGCGCGCAGACAAGTTAGTCCATGAGTGTGTCCCATCGCACGTGGACAGGGCAAGGTGCCATGTGCCCTATGCGCTCGCTGTCTAGTAGTAGGCCTGCATGTATTCTTTGATGAAAATATTATTTCTTAATCTTTCTATTGTAAATTTTAATTCCAAGATCCAAACATGTATTCATATATATTAAATCCCGTACAAAAATCTCTTTTGAGATCTAAACAAAATTTGAGTAGCTAGTAAACTTAATCATCATCCTAAGTAAACTTAATCCACTATGTATAAGAAAATTAAAAAAAGGAAAAGAAGAGAGCAAAGCATTCTAACAGTTTAAAACTATATTGGGCATGCATGTATTTTAACAAATAGCAATGAAGCGATATCAAGCTGAGGCGAGAGAGAAATTAAAAAAAAAAGAAGAGTAATACTAGTATATGAGATATAAAATATTAAAGAGAAGATTAATCTAAAGAAAATTATAACACAAACAAATACCTTTACATGCATGCATGCGATGCGATGTTTATGTTGACTATTACGTGATGATTATGATGACTAGTACTATGACAACGACGACTACAACTATTAAGAATTTAAAGATATACATGTGGTTGATTGTAATTGGTTATTAAGTACATCCCAACAATAATCCAAACAATTCAAAATCAAACATCTTATCATTCCATTCCTAAGAATAATTAAACCTCTAGAGCATATCTGTATATGATTTTGGTTGTGCTGATCAAACAACACCATCATCTCCACTTAGTCCCCATTACCAAACACTAAATGAGCTGTTGTTGTGCTTGCGGGTTAATACCATCAATGAACCATCACTACAACTGCTAAAGCTTATACGATAGAGAATCCTGGTTGATCTAAGAGGATGTCTCCCCTGGACCCTTCATCACTCCTCCATTTGTGGCCCCCTGAAGCTGAGGTGATTTACAGAGTGTTTCTATCATGTTTTTGGATTTCTTTGAGGTTTTATTCAATTAGCCAACCTAGATCGTTGAGATAAACGAGGTTGAGTTAGTGGAGGGGCTTCCCAACAAGGCTTTGAAACATGATATGCATTATTTACTTCTCCTGATTGTCTTTTTGTTTCTTCTTTAGTTGGTCGGTTGTCTTGGTGATCATCTATCATAGGAAGCTCTTTTAATTCATCATCTTCTTATTCTGCTCCATCTCAGAGATCCTCTTGAAGTCAGCCAACAAGTATTGGGCTCCGAGAGGGGAATGCCAAACCTCTAGTTATTAGTCATATGGGTTGTAAATGATTGCACATGTTTTGACATTGCAGAGTGTGCTAAGTTGACTCACTTTCTTCATCAGCCCCTTCTTCCTTTTCTTAAACATGGTTTTTCTTGCAAAGTCGTTACTGACATAGGTAAGTGTAACCTTGTTTCTAGTCATGATGTTTTGTCGTGTTTGCCAAAGGAGCGAGAGGGGTTATATATAGAATGAGACAAGGGTTGGAGAGTTACTAGTAAGGAATGGGGAATGGAGCATTATAATATAGTAGAATATACCATCTAAGGTAAGATATGGTGCATTCTACAACAAGTGGAATGCCAAAATATTACTTAATGATTTGTTAGATATACATGTTCCTCATTAATCTTAGCTTTTATATAAAGAGTTAACAAATCATATAAAAACTCATACATTTTAAATCTTCAATTAAATTTTTAAAAGTTCAAGAATTCATATAAAATGGTATATAGGTGGCCTTAGGTATGAGTTTTTAACACATTAAAACAAGGGAACATCCATATGATTTATAAAGGTTTACTTTGTATTTCACTTATTAATTTTAATTTGGCTTATCTATAAAGGATGTATTGTGTTACAATTTTTTGATGTAATGTGTTATGATTTTTTATCTTTTTATTTCTTTTTGTATTCTTAAATATTAGAACTTCGTTATGTGTGTCTTATTTAGAGAGATTATATATATATATACTTACAATGATAAAAGAGTGATTCATTGAATAACACTAATCATGTTTACTTCCCTTTATTTAATAACGATGGCACTGTATTAATATGTTGTACTTGTGTTAATTGTGTAATTGAATTTTTTTAAATTAAAAATTATGCTAACTATTTAATTAACTACAATTAAAATTAAATATTAATGTAAACAATTATGTGAGAAAATGAAATGTTACAATTAAATATCAATATAATTAGTTCTATAATCCATACATAAAACGGACTGCAAATTTAATTTTAAACAAAATAATTGAACTTAAGTTCTTTTATATATCACTAAATTGACATATTCACAAAAACAATTAAATAAATACATTCAATACATTTTTATCAGAAAATTGTTGATATTAGAAATTAACAGATTATATAAAAAGGTATGTAGGTGATAATTTGGCTAACTTGTTAACTTTTTATATAAAATTGTGAGTAGACGTGTTCTTCATTAATGGGAACTGATGCCATCCCTTAATGATCGAGCCAAAGGCCCAATAGTTCCAATTCTAAGATCTTTACTTCATTACCAACCACCTTAATAGAAATCAATCATTCTAAAAGTTAAATATAATTAAGGCATGATAATACTTGACTTTTAAATGAAGTGGTATTTCTCTACCTCTACAAAAATAAGAATTAAAGATTCGACTCTTATGTAACACAAAAATAAATATATAATGCTATCATATGTTAAAATTAATTATAATTTATTGTATTATTACATTTATCTTCTTTTTAAAAAAAGTATTTAGTGTCTTATGAATTTTTGAAACTGTTATCGCAAAAGTATAAATTGGTTTTGAATAAGTGATCCCACTAAGAAAGGTTAAATACTGGTCATTGTCTTTAAGAATCAATTGCAACATCGTACTACAGTTACTAGAGTAACATACTTTAATATTGAAAAAATTTTAATGTTGTAGTTTGTGTCACTGGAGTTAAATATGGTCTTGTTTTATATCAGTAACATTTTTTTTAGTAGTAAGAAACTATATATCATTGATTTTTGAGTATTTATATATGTAAAAGAAATTCAAAATATTAATTGCTTAAAGTGTTTGAAATTAGCCGTTAAAATTTTTTTTCTATATTTATTATTCTATGTGATTGTATATATTTAAATATTTATATGTATATATTGTACATTTCTTCTTGCATAAAGTATTAGTTAACAATTCACAGATTGTTGAGTTTAAAAATTATTTATTTCAGGTTTTTTCCATATTATGAACAAAATAATTGCATCGTGAAATTTATTTATGATCGTTAGAGATTCTCCAATATATTTTAGTTATTTAAAATATTGCATGTTTTGACTAAAATAAAATTATT